AATATTTATAAGAAATATTGTTATAATATTCAAGAATCTGTCGCTTCAACCTATATTAAATATTGCAAAAAAATATTACTGTAATATTTGTGTGCCATCTGGGTAAAGTATTGTTTGTATAAATGTGTACAAGAGTTCATTTGGCTATCTAAAGCCACCACTGAAGTTTGGCGATTGTTTGGGTCGCCCTGAAAATTCACTCACAGCATAAAATCGTCGAGAAAACATGGAAATAATTTCCAAACAATGCGTTTAGCAGGAAAACGCAAAAAGTTATAAAACCTTCTAATCGAAAAAAATGTTCACATTAAATCACGCAAGTTTTTAATAATTAAGCACTAATAATGCGTTCAAGTCCAGATTATTATCGGCAAAATCGCACACTGAATCCAATGAGAATGGGATCAATAAACAAAAACTGATAAAATCCAAAACAGTGGCGCAAGAAACAATGGCAGCTTTTTTCGCTTTATCTAGCATGTCCTAATCTAGATATCAAGAAAGTAAAGCAAACCAACCGGTAGATTTTACATAAGTCACATAATTCCATGGCAAAAATTGGCATGCAGTGGACACTGCAATAGTTTTAGCACACAACCGAAAGGCAAAAATTAAGAGTAAAGTTCACTAAAATCTTAGAAATCCACTATATTCAAATAAAAATTCAATGAATGCGCCTCAAACGCTCAACTGAAACTGCAACTCATTTATATAGAAGTGTACATCACTGTGCACTTTGATGAAGATGAAAAACTTTCAAAAGTTCCTGCTCACACATCAACTGTTTGGCAACTCGAATCAGCGACTTCCAAATGTACATTCACTGCCCACAAAAGTCTTTTAAGTCAAAAGTAAGTATTTAGGTAAGTGAGGCCGAAGAGTGAGGCGAAGAAATAAGGTAATCGAACGAAAACTCTTTACTTTCTCTACAGTGCGGGCTTTAAACATACGCGCTACTGCATTTGCACACCCACCGTATCTATAAAGGAGTCCGACAATTTTCAAAAGGCACACTATGCTTTAAGGTGCCTACCTAACTCTACGAAACCTCAATCTGATCTTGATCTGTGTGTGACTGTGATAGGATATAGCTGACAACATGTACAAATTAGCGGTAAGTTATACTAAACAATTTTTAACTATGCGCTTCAAAGTGAATTTAGCCTAAAATCGATTTGAATCTTTTCTGTTTGCCTAAACTGGTGTCATGTTTAAATAATCTTTTCAATTTCTTGCTGTCGTTTCGCAAGCACGAGCGGCGTTCATCTCCAGGGGTGGTTTGCTCGACGCAACATCCCGAAATTGAACAGCTGCTTTGAGCATGAAATCAGTTCAAAAACTGGTGTTTTTGAATCAAACCTGATGAGTGCCGCATCCATAAACTGCCTGCCCTATTTTGTATTTTTAACAAAAAATGTTTTCTGTCTGCAAGCAGTGTTTCCTCACTTATAAATTAAGCCAATGTGTGATTGCAACGCGCCAATCACCTGCCTTGATCCTCAAAGAATTCCGTTCTAATAACAGAAAATTAGCAATTTGCCCATACCAATTAGCTGAGCAATAAGCCAGAAAAATCGCCCCTTGAACGATATTTCTCAACAAAACATCAATTAAATGCCGAGTTAATCACATATCTCCAATTCCCACATTCGCTCGCATAAATCCACAATATTGAGTTGCGTTAATTATGGTTTTTGCAATCGCAAAATAGGTAGCAAGTGGGTACCTAAGTAATAAATCAGCCAATGTGGAGTCTTGCGGCATATATTAAGTCACTTTCACGCACCACTTCGGTACCAGAACCATACACTTAATAGACCATAGCATTTAATCGAAAAACGTGTTACGAGACAATGTGTAAACGACCACAAACGTACAATTTCCTTTTTTTCTTCGCCTGGATTCCTACAGACTTGACCGGTTACTGTAAGGATTAATAATAAT